ACACACACACATATAAAAACTTGCTACGTGTACTGCGTTAGGCTTTTTGCGAAATATTAGACTATACTTCATTATATTTACTTTACATGTTAGTCATGTCTTAATTATTTAATATGTTTAAATAAATATTTTATGAAACAAGTTATAACTCCGTAAATTATTATATTTCAACAACAAATAGAAATTGTATAATTTAGAGGTTAATTTAAAAACATTTTACATGTTTGCATACAATTTTTTTAATTTGAGTGTTGATTATATAGTTACAAATAAATAGTAATTGAATTTAAATTTGGGCTCTGTTGTTAATTGTAACCTTATACTAACGTAAAAGGGCTTCCTATAGTTTAGAGCAAAAGCTGAGGTAGATTTTTATCCCTAAGAAATTTTTGGCTTTGTTGGTTTTGATTGCTTCTATTGTCAACATTTGTAAGTCGCTTTGGATAAAAGTGTCTGCTAAATGACTAAATGTAAATGTATAATCAGGTGTGTCACGCCAGAAGCAGTTCCAGCAGCAGCATTCACTCTGAGACTGAAAAAAAAAACAGTCGCTCTTCCTGATGATGATGATGATGAAGATGAAGGCGCAGACCTGTGTGAGCTCATGCAGGCTGCGGGTGAACTGGCTGGTGTATGAGCACTGGTTGTAGTCGTGCTCCGCCCAGCGGCCCGTGCGGTCACACCTGCGCCACGCCCTTTTCTCCTGAGGGGCGGAGTCAGAGTGGGACCACGCCCTTTTCTCCTGTGGGGCGGAGCCAGAGCGGGACACGGCACACGGCAGGAAGGCCATGAAACCGGCCAACGTCTTCGGCCACCTGTGAACATCATTCATCACATCAAGAGTCTGTTTGCGCTCCACTAATGTCACTTTTCTTCATCATGTTTGACATCTCGGTGTGGTTTGAATCACCTGGTGATTTTCAGTGGATAGTTTTATGCAATATATATATATATCCGCCAAGACCAAATACATTAACATTGTCATGTACATTACCATCTCCGAAAGCTGTCATGACAGATATATTTTTATCATCACATGAAATATAATGTCAGACATGAGTGTGACCGTTCATACCAGGTGTTGTTGATCATTCACATTTTGCCCAGTGTAGATTACCATCTAAGGAAAACACAATATGAATCTAAGGTTTGAGGTGGTAAGACGTTTAAAAAAAAAAGAGACATCTCTTAAAATCACCGAAGCTGATTAAAATATACAGTAAAACAGTAAAATTGTGAAATTACATTACAATTTAAAATAAGTTATTAGGGGTGTAACGATACACGTTTTCGTATCGAACAAGGCTTACGGTTCGGTTCGGTACACATTGCAAACCGAATGATTCTTTGGACTAATCCTATTACATTTGGAAAATAAAAGAGCTTAAAGTGTCTGAAATATAATGTTCTCAGTAGGGCTGCACGGTATATCGTTTCAGCATCGATTTCGCGATGTGCGCATCCACGATAGTCACATCGCAGGTTGTGCGATGTTTAGTATACTGATCGTTATATTTATACTGATTGTTTTCTTTGCTCACACACAGACACGTTGTCTATACCGCACGCGACAGCTGTACAGACACCCATTTTAAATAAATTTAGTAGCAGAGCTACTGCAACGGCAGACGCCACGAAAGATGCACGTGAACACTGAATTCTGTCCACTTCTGTGTCTATTTGTGCCTGAAATACTGTGCTCTGCAAGTATCCTTGTAAACACAGCTGCTTATGGCTTAGGCGAAGGCTAAACGATTGAGAAAGAAAATGGATGTGTAACAGTATATTGCTTCACAGCAGTTTAATGTTCCTGTTGCTTTCTCTGTCATGAACGTTAAACAACAAAACACAAAGAAAAATCACTTCTGTAGCTTTAACACAGATTTGTTAGATTTCATTTATAGTGAAAACTATGCAGTGTTATTTTACATTTTTTTAATTGAAGAGTTGTCATAATAATAGCAATAGACTATTTATATTGAATGATCTTCTCAGGTTATAATATAACATATGTTTGAAATGTACAGTGGTGGCCAAAATTATTAGAACACTAGTATTTTCACCAGCTAAAAAAATGGTTTTAAGGCTGATGATACACTGGGAAACCTTTTGAGCAATTTTGCAGGGCAACTTTTTTTAAACAATGTTGCTTGTGCACTTTCCTATTGAGCATGGGTAACAAATTTCTATCTGGATGTTTTAGATCGGTCGTGGGCCCTGTGTCTCGCCTGGTTGCCCATTGATGGCAACATTGCCTGAAGTTGCACAGCAACATTGCTCAAAAGGTTGCCCCGTGCATCATCAGTTGTAGTCAGTTATTTCTATCTTTTGCTGTAGTGTGTCAGGAGGAAATATCAGTTTACATTTCCAAACATTCG